GTGTGTGTGTGTGTGTGTGAGAGAGAGAGAGAGAGAGAGAGAGTCTGAAAGCAGGAGTTGGGACTTATGGCGCTGTTTTTATGTACGGCACTGAGGAATGTGCTTATGTAATGACGTAAGACTCCGGGCATATTCACACTACCGTCTTCACCGGAATAGAACGCCCGGTCATTATAGCGCTGTTCTGTATAGTGTGTGTGTGAGTGTGTGTGTGTGTGTGTGTGTGTGTGTGTGTGTGTTTGTGTGTGTGTGTAATACGGGTATATCTGCAATTTGCCCACTAGAAGGAGAATAGATCGATGGGGAGAGAGCACTGGCTATGTTATCGACTGACGAGCGTGGTCTCGACACTTCTTTCCAATCAAATCAGAGAAGCGGACGAGGGAAATCGACGCGAATTAAGGACAATCAATTAGAGTGCTTGAGAGCATTCATGTTGTGAAGAGGGAGAACAAAGCCGAAAAAGGCGGGGAGGGGAGGATGGGGGAACGAAGGAAAGAAAGAAAATAAAAACAAACAGTGCTGGCAGTAATACATACGGATGGACTCTTCCCGCGCTACTTAGCACTGAGTCTCCGAATGTTCAACGCTACGGACGTAAACGAGGGGCCATGTCCCACGTGACCAGACCCACGTGACCAGATTGTTCATTTCTGGCCGTTGATCAAAGGAATCAAAGGTCCCACTTCGAGAACTCGGGAAAGTGGGACTTGGCCCCACTGAGGGATTTCTTGATGTGCTATGAAGGCTGGCAAGGAGGACAGCAATGGCGATGGCACGACAGCGTTGCTCTCCGTCTCACACACTCACCTCTTTCCACCAGACTCCTCTGCTGCCACAGTGTTGTGTTGTACGTCCTCACGCCTCAGTAGTCTCCAACACAGACAAAGGGGGGGGAGGGGGGAGGCGCATATCATGAGCACCTGCTGCTGTCACCTTTCCGATCGGGACCTTATGTCTTTACTACAGGCCCGCCATATCCTGGCCCACACAACCTGCCCCCCCCCCCATGGGCCTCGCCGCACGGCACACCAAACGCGAAACGAATCTGGCCGCCTTCTGTGGCCAGATGCCTTCTTTTCGTGTTGTGAGGAAGAGAACTCCCTTTTTTTTTTTTTTGCAATCAGAACTCGAAACGTCAAGATAGGCGTGCGTCAAAAAAAAAAAAAAAAAAGAGAACCTGTCTTATCCCTGAACCTTCGTCTGCAGAACATGAAGTTTTTTCTCCTGAGCTCGATGGTCGCCCAGGCCATTTTTTTGTCGCCTTCCCCTTGGCAGCTCTGTTGCTGCCTGCAACATCCCCCCTGGGAGAGGTCCCATACTATTTTCCCCGAACACAACGCACCCTCCCAATAATGCATAAAGCAAATTTTCCGCTCTGATGCAGGGCTGACGAGGACGCTGGGGAAGGACGGTGACAGCAAGGACAGGATAATTAGACT